TTTAGCTGTGGCCTTCAGCAGTCCCACAGGCTCTGGTCCACTCAGAGATCCCCATAATTTAGTTCTGAAGTTCCCACTCATCCACCCTCATCTGCTCTATCATACACAACCTGCTTTTTTTATTAAGTTTCTTGCATTAGTGCCCATGGGGGCCAAACTGTTATGCAGACTTACCAGCTACGAACATAAGAGCACCTTCCTATATCTTTTTCATTCTTAAGTATATGGTTATTGGTAGAAATAAAATTTGTATCTAATTTACACCACCTTCCAGAAATTAGACTTTTGAGATTTTAAAGATGTGAAAGTTGCTTGGCAACATCTTGCTCTCAGATCTTTTACAGGAAAAGCCTGAGATTAACTCAGGCTATACCATCTGCATTGCTGCTGCTCTGAAAACCACTGAGGAAAGGTGACATAGAAATTCAGAACTCTGTTTCGTCGTCATTCCTTAACCTCCATCCCCACCCCGGTTCCATAGCTGGAAAAAATACTATGGTATACATCAAAATTCACCTCTGGGTCCCAAAATGAATGTGATTTGCTTTGAGGCCTGTCTCTGCCCCAATCTGCATAATACTCACCTAGACACACACCATAGAATAGTGGAATAGTGGTTAGAAGAAATTGTTGAGAAGTCCTGCTGTCATTCTCTGTCATGCTCCCTTTCTTCCAAAGACCTGAGGACAAAGCTTGCTTGTCACTGGTAGTTAGCAGCCTGAGACCCTTATCTACCTGTGAGGTATGTATATATAAGAAATAAGGGGGAATGGTGAGGACTACAAACACTCCAGATTAGTGTTACTTTGTTTTGTTTTTCTTTTAGGTTGAAAACTATACCAAATAAATTAAGTAGGTAATGGAAAGAAAGAAAGAAAGAAAGAAAGAAAGAAAGAAAGAAAGAAAGAAAGAAAGAAAGAAAGAAAGAAAGAAAGAAAGAAAGAAAGAAAGAAAAAGAAAGGAAGGAAGGAAGGAAGGAAGGAAGGAAGGAAGGAAGAAAGAAAGAAAGAAAGAAAGAAAGAAAGAAAGAAAGAAAGAAAGAAAGAAAAGAAAAGAAAGAAAACTATACCAGTCTTTTCTCATTGTTATTGATGGTGAGGGTTTTGGAACTCATTAGGAAAACTGAATTCTCAGAGACCATAACTACAAAGGTTCATTTTCTTTATACTGAACCGATCCTTTCTCATTTTGAGAGTTCTTAGTAAATTATTATCTCTTTCTAAGCGCTGTTTTTTAATTGATATCTGAAATAGGCATTCCAAAAGAAGTATTTTTGCTTATTTGCTGACTTTATGATCTTTAGAAGTTGAAGAAATTAATTTTCTGTAGGTACTTAAATCTTCATTCCCTCTCTGACTAAATATAATTTAAATATGGCTCAGGTGCACTTATATGTCTTTTATTATTGTCTGATCACAAGTTTTAAAAAAAAGTATAGTGTTGCAAATAAGTTGGTTCCTTCCATTTGATATGAATTGGCAACTTTTTATCCTAAGATATTAGTTTTCCTTCTACTTCATTAATATTCAAAAGTCACTAAAGTCAGAATTCTCTGACTTCTTTCCTAAGGGATCTACCTCTGTTTTTGATCTATGGTTTCTAAACGTTGGCCCTACTGACATTTTAGACTAGATAATTCTTTGTTGTGGGGGCTATCCTGTGCACTATAAGGTGACAGTAGTACCCACCCAGACCATATGTCCCCAGGGGGGCAAAACTGCAAAACTGAGAGCAGCTGTTCTGATCCATGTGTAACACATACTTCCAAAAGCTTCAGTGGGGATCCAAACGCTTTTAACTTTTTAAATCTGATTCTTCTGTATTCAGTTTCTGTTATTTTAAATGACTGCAGTGTTTTGGGTTTTTTCTATTCAAGATACTTTTAAAGAAAGAGTATGAAAACCCTCCATGCCCACCATCAGGGCAGACCCTATTATTTTAAGGAGCACCCACAGTAATTAATTCACACAAGATATTTTTGTTATTGAACTTTCCATATTTACACAAGATACTCTGGTTGTGTGTTTAAAATTTTTTTAATGTATAGGAAGGTAATTTTTACCTTAAAATGTATAAGCATTACTTCAGAAGAATCACAGTTTAGAGGATGAGAAGAAAGGAAAAGTCTACATTTAATTATTATAAAGGTTTGATAACAGCTTTCTTGAAATGTTCTGTTTCATATATGTCTAAGCTTAAGGACTCCTGTAATTAAGGTAAAAGTTTTTAGTGAAAGGATACTGAACATCTATAGAATTTTAGTAAAAAGTCTAGTCACTCTTGAAAAGTAAAGATAGAAAAAAACTGTATGATTCCACTTTTTAAAAATGTAATTTAGAAACTCCTCAAAGGGCCAGTCTTCCATACTTTGCTGGGTGAAGTGCTTCTGCATCTCCAGGCCTGGGCTGCACAGGAGTTAAGACCTTAGACCTCCAGTGAAACCAGAGCCTAGCCTGGAGAGGAGCCTGCAACTACTGTGGAAATCTTCCCACCCAGGTTAGGCACATCTATGTGAGGCTTAAGGGGGGAGGAAAGTGGAAGTTAAGTGTGTGAGAGCTGGAGAAAGGATTCCATTCAAGCGTTCACACCTTCTTTACCTGTCCACCTTCTCTCCTGGGCCTTTAAGGAGGCTTGACCTACAGTACACATTCCTTCTCTATCAGCAGAACCCTGCTGTTCTTCAAAATATAGAAGCAGACAGATGTCAGGGAGTGCTGTTAGACACTAGCCTGAAGGTGGACTTTCTGTTCCCTTATGTCTCACACAGCTCCCATTCTCCCATACCTCTATAGGATTAAGATGTAATACATCGCATTCTGCTTCACCAGTGTATGTGTGCCAACTAGGCATTCAGTTTGCACACCCTCAAGGGTGTGCAAGAACTCATAAGACAGCCTGATGAGAAAAGTAAATTAAGACCTGCTCACAAAGTTCCACCATTTTAGAGCTAGGGGAAAATTTGAGAAATAAATAAAAGTAACTTTAGGGACCAAAAAGTATAATTTATAGAGTAGATGATAAATGTAGAAGCTTATTACTCTAGCAGTTGGGGGATCCCTGGGTGGCGAAGCAGTTTGGCGCCTGCCTTTGGCCTAGGGCGCGATCCTGGAGACCCGGGATTGAGTCCCATGTCAGGCTCCCTGCATGGAGCCTGCTTCTCCCTCTGCCTGTGTCTCTGCCTGTGTGTGTGTGTGTGTGTGTGTGTGTCTATCATGAATAAATTAGTAAAATCTTAAAAAAAAAAAAAAACTACTCTAGCAGTTGGAACTAATTTATTTATTTTTTTTTTATTTTATTTTATTTATTTATAATAGTCACACACAGAGAGAGAGAGAGAGAGGCAGAGACACAGGCAGAGGGAGAAGCAGGCTCCATGCACCGGGAGCCCGATGTGGGATTCGATCCCGGGTCTCCAGGATCGCGCCCTGGGCCAAAGGCAGGCGCCAAACCGCTGCGCCACCCAGGGATCCCAGTTGGAACTAATTTAAAATAAGGAGTCAAAGATCATTTAAATTCATGGATGACGGAGGTTGAATGGAGTATATTATGTAATATTCATTACCTACGGTAAAATCTTTACGTTAGTATTCTAAATCTCCTCTGAAGAGATGTTTTTTATTTATTTCTACCCCTTGTTCATTCATTCCTTCAAACATTTATTGCATGTCTGCTATGCACTAGACACTGCAGATTATCTTCCTTCTTAGTTTACGTTTTGGTTTTGGTTGGGGTGGAGAAGGCAGGTGGGCAGTGGTGGTTGGAATTGGTAACTTCAAACAAACTCTTTTCCTTAGGTCAAAGGTTAGGTGTCTTTTAGAATGAGCAAGTAAGAGTTGCTTGTAGGGTGTCCTGCGTGGCCCAGTTATACATGCTCATGCTTACTAGCGCATTCGTTTATGTCTGTCTGTCGCAGCCAGTTAGTTCTGAGTCTTAATCTGACCATAATGGAAAGGGCAGCTTTGCGGGGGGCGGAGGAATGAGAACTGGAGAATATCCCCCCTCCTCGTCTCCTAAATTACTAAGACTCTGTGTATTGGGGGGCTGGAAAACAGGAAATCATATTTTATATTCTTGCCAATGAATCCTTTTTATAAAATTATCACCTTACACCAAGGTAGCCCCTGTAAATCCAAAAGAAAGGTTTTAGGAGCTGGAAAGGGTGGAGCCATTTAAAGACAGAAGTTTTCAGTTCATTTGTTCACAGATGTTTACTGAGGTCCTACTATGTACCAGGAAAATATGCCTAATACAGGGGCTCAGTGATCTAGAGCAACCCCGTCCTTTCACTTTGGGGCCTACCCATCTAATAGAGAAACAACCTTGAGTAAGAGCATAAAAAACATTTGCCTTTTCCACAGTGTTGCATGGGGCTCAGCTTTGGAATACCCCACAGAATCATCTTTCCAGGCTGCTGACCCTATTCTGTAAACATGAGGGTAAGAGAATCTTAAGGCAGAGAAAAATACCCGTCTGTGTTTTGGTGTGAATGTTAACTATGGCATTCACCTTATGCTGCTAGTAATTCTTGAAAAATACTACTCAAAGAAACAAGAATTAAAATGAAATGTGCATATAATTAGAGGGTAAAGATTGGGACATAGACTCTGTTCAGAGATCATTTAAATATCTAGAAGCTATTCATCAGGAGGAGCATGCTAGCCAGAGACAGAACCTTGCAGCTCAAAAGAGAAAGAGCTTTTTTAGCAAATTGACTAATAACTCTTCCCTGTGAACTGTAATCATTTGCTAGTTTGAAATGAGGGTTTCTCTTACTGATCTGAAGTGATTACTGACACTTAAGGGTAGAAAATGGAAATAAGAGTGATGTGGTGATTTTTAGGTGTACTTGCTTGATTCCTTCAATGATTTGGTAATTTAAATGTTCAAGAGGGCCTGCATATTAAAAATGAAGGTCACTTGTAAAACAGTTAAGTCAGTTATCAGATCATTGTTTGTCAGATTTATATTTTGAGATGTTTCTCTTTTTCCCCTCACTTTAGCTTGTCAAAATTCCTAAGAATGATCCCCCCAATGAAGTGCATACTTTTAACTTCTATTTGTCAAATGTGGGTAAAGACAACCCTCAGGGCAGCTTTGACTGCATCCAGCAAACATTCTCCAGGTAAGTGCCTTTCAAGATATGCTGAAGGGAGAGTAATTTTTCGAGAGTTTTTTTTTAAATTAATAAAATATATAATAGTCATTCCATAAATGTTTATTGAATTGAATTATAGAGTTCTTTTATTTAGAAATAATTGAGCACCTACTATGTGCTAGTAGTTATATTTGTCACTGTGGGATACAATCATAAAAATTGTAAGGTTCTTGCCTTCAGAAATTTTTAAGGTATAGATTTTTTTTTTATCTATACAACAGTTTTTTCAAATTAAAAACAAGCTTAAGAATTTTTTAAGTTTTTATTCACTGTATTTATGTAAGAGTACCTTAATGTATACTCAGGGTTCATACTCAAGAGTAAAGGAGTAAAAGAAATATGTACCTTGTATATGCCTTTCTTCCCTGTGCAAGCCTTGTTTTAAGATAGGTTTTCAGAAATGGCTCATGCTGCAACATAATGGAAACTAGAAATTAACCCCAGTATAGCAGTCACTTCTAATTTAAAAAGAAAAAAAAGGAGGGAGGAAGACAAGAATATACACCCACATCCCAGGGTACCATGGAACCCTTATCTACTTAGGTCCTCCGTAAACAATAAGCTACTTGTTTGACTCATCTTTGCTGTGGTTGTTTCTTATTAAAGAATGGGTGCCTTGAGTAGGGGGAGTTTGTTCTGCCGGTGGTTAAAGACAAGGCCTTAGAACCCCCAACATCCCGAGAACATTGAAATTGGCCCAAAGTGCCCCAAGCTATCCATCCCTATCTCTCATCTGTGCAGTACTTGAAACTGTGTGCACGCTTGCTGTGTGTGTGGGAGAAAGGAAAGGAAATCTATGTTGCAAGGGAGCTTGGGAGGCAGAGGTACAAAAGAAGATACTTCACTAAAAGAGTTCTAAATTTCTGCTCCCATTTAGGATAACTAAATAAGTTTCTGTTCTATCTTATATGCCATTTTCCCTGAGTAAATGTTAATTTTGCTTTTTAAAAGTTGCCCACCCCCAAATAAAGTTTTTGGTATAAATTGTGTATGTTATAGATTATATAGGCTTTTCTATACTATGTCCTGTGATAGCTATTGGCCATATGTGGCTATTTACATTTCAATCAATAGAAATGAAATAAAATTTAAGATTTAGTTATTCACTCAAATTTACCACGTATTATTGACTCAGTAGCCACGTGGCTAATGGCTATCATAATGGACAGCACAGATACAGAACATTTTCACAATTACAGAAATTACTGTGGGACAGCATCGCAAAAGATTACAGAATCATCAAGTATAAGGGTCCTTGGTGATTGTGTAGTTCAACCCCTTCATTTCACAGATGATTTATTCATAGTTACACAGCTGGTTAGTTGGTGACAAGGCTGAATAAGAACTGAGTCCAGTTCTGACTGGTATTCTTTACACACCACAGGACACACCAATTTCAAATTCTTGTGGTGCTATTACTTATAATGCTTGTCTTTAGAGAATTACTTTATTATAGTGAGAACACTTTGACCTCAAATTCAATTATGTCCCATTAGAAATTTTATTGAGGAACAATCCCCTCTTTAAAATAAGTGATAGGGCAGCCCGGGTGGCTCAGCAGTTTAGCGCCGCCTTCAGCCCAGGATGTGATCCTGGAGACCCAGGATCGAGTCCCACGTCAGGCTCCTTGCAGGAAGCCTGCTTCTCCCTCTGCCTGTGTCCCTGCCTCTCTCTCTGTGTGTCTTCCATGAATGAATAAATAAAATCTTAAAAAAATAAAACAAGTAATAGCATCATAGGTAATATGGTTTCTTTCTTAGATCATAAACACCCTGTGTGTTTATTTCTACCTTTCTTGTTTGGAGAAAGATTTAAAGTCACTTACAAAATGCTACATGATGCAGCAGGAAAAATGAAACCATTATTGTGAGAAAATTGGGGTAAAGACAGTAGTATGATCCAAGTGTGTTTTATAAAAGTATGATCCAACTATGAAAGTATGATTTAAGATGCTTTATAAAATGGTTTTATAGAAGTATAAATTGAAATTTGCCACTGTGAAAATAAAAGCCCTGAAACTTTGAGTTCTCAACCTGGCAAGCAAATTTTTTTTATGATTTTGTGTTCCACCTTTTCTGTTCAATTGAATTTTTATTTTCCCCATGGATCTTGTCTCTGCTATAGTTCAACTTCTCCTTGAACCTCACTTTTATCATACCTAAAATGGAGGAAATCCCAAAGTTAAAATTACCTTTCAAAAATTCTTTAAATCTGTCCATTCACAGCCCTCATAGTTTAAGGGCAAACAGCCTTGTACGGTAGTAATGCACAGCCTATTATAGGAAACTGAGCCAGGCTAGAGAAAGACTCTAGGAATGCTTACATGCATATGTCAAAGAAATTAAACTTCTAAGGTAACTCTGTTGAAAGGGGATGAGTGGACAGTTCTAGAGAGTATCTTCTTGCCTACAGGGTTTAGCTCTATTTTGTTTAATAGATCTGTTTCTTGACTTTGAATGGTATAAGCTGTAACTTCATCACGATTGGCAATAAGTTCAGCTTGTTCTATTTAAATTACTTAATAAATAAATTAATAATTTCCGGGGAGGAGATGCTGAAGTTCAAACTTCCTGCCACCAAATCTTCATACTGTAATCTTTTTCTTCCCACTTCTCCTCCTCCATCCTGCTTCCTCTGAGGGTTAGACCTTCCTCCTTCGCTTCCCTGATTTTTTCAGCATTCATGCATGCTCAAGTGTGTTGCATAAAAAAATGAAAAGAAAAGCAAAAGCAACTTGCATTGCACTTACTCTGAAATCTGGCTTCATGCTTCATTCAACTGAAACATGCTCCCCCAACAGGGCCTTGACCTCCTTGCCACTGAATCCACTGGATGCTTATTGGGTCCTTATTCTCCTGGACTTGTTGCCAGCATTTTACACTGTTGATCACTCTGATTCTTGAAGCATTCTATTCCAGTGGCTTCCATGACACGTTACTCTTTGAATTTCCCCTTACCTCTTTGGCTATACCTTTTCAGCCTTCTTGGTCTTCTTTTCATCTTCCTCTTGCTTAAATATTAGTGTTCTTCACAGTTGGTTCCCTCCTTAGACCTCTCTTCATTTCCTCAAAGTCACCATGTCCAACACCGCATTCATTTTCTTTCTTCCAGCCCTACCTCAGTGCCTCAATAAATGGTAGCGCCACACACCTAGTAGCCTGGGTATGATCTTTTAACTTGTTTCCATCTCTTCCTGCAGCTAATCACTTACCAAACCCTGTCAATTTTTTCTGTTCACTATGTCTGGAATCTGCTTACTCTTCTGCATTCATACTGCCCCACACCAGTTCAAGCTCTCCTTGCCAGTAATCCATCAGTAGCCTCCTAAGTGGTCTCTTGCTTTCCCTTTTGTGCCCTCTATCTCCCAATCTGTTCTTCATCCAAACTGATCCAGATATTTCATCCAGGATGAGATATTTTCTCTCCCCTGTTTTCAGTCTCTGTTTTTCTTGGGGACTAAGTCCAAAATCCTCCATAGCCCTATGTGATCTTCTTCTCATGCCCTTCAGCCTCATCTCTAATTGTCCTTTTCACCTTTCTTTGGCCAAACTGAAAACTTCCTCCTTATTTCTCCTAGGCCAGCACAGGTTAGTTCTCCTCCCAGAAAATTTCTTTCCCTCCCCACCCCACACCCCCACAGCCCCTGTAGACATCCCTCTAAATCAGCTTCGGCATCACTCCCTCTAGGAAGCCTTTGCCTTGGCCATGATCCAGGTGAAGTACCTTCCTGGGGGTTCCCTGCCCCCCTGTCATTTGTCACACTGTGTCATAATTTCCAGTATGTTCATCCTTGTCACGCATTAGACAGCTCCTTGAAAGGACCACATCTGTCTTAGTCCTGGTCTCAGTCTGACCCTCACATATTGCCTGGCCTAATAAATATCTTTTGAGATTTATTTCCTGCCTAATGAATATCTTTGAGATTATTGAACTGTTTTTTTAAATAACATTTATACAGTTATTAGAAATTTATAAAAATTTTATCCTATTTCTTAGCATCATAACAAAGCTAGTTTGGAAGTAGAGTATCAGAGCTATAGTGACATTTTCATTACTCCCATATTCCAGTCTGTTTTAAGGCCATAGTAATTTCTTTTTAAAATACCAGTGTAGGGACACCTGGGTGGTTCAGTCAGTTGTCTACCTTTGGCTCAGTTCATGATCCCAGGGTCCTGAAATTGAGTCCTGCTTTGGGACCCCTGCTCAGCAAAGGAGTCTCCTTCTCCTCTCCTCATCTCTCCCTGCCGCTGCTCATGCTCTGTCTTTTGCTCACTCTCTCTCAAATAAATAAAATCTTTAAATATATAAATTTTAAAAAGATAACATGATCCCTTAATATTAGCGTAATACTTTGAAATAGAGCCATCTTCTGGGCTTCATGATTTTTTTAAATAAAAGTTTTTCAAAAAATATTTATAAAAATCTCTTGACCAGTATTTTCTTTAATATTACACACACACACACAAACAGGTCATCTTATGTAGAGATTTAACAAAATGGTAAATAGAGTCTACGAATGTTTAAGATATTTGGGCTAATAATAAATCATAAATGTTTGGCAATATTTTGCCTGAAAATAAATTATCTTATTAAAGATAGCATTTCATTGGGTCCGTTTCATCTAGTCAGTTCTAAAGCATGCATATTATGGTTCCACTAAAAGTAAACTTTAAACATTTTTCATATCAGTGGTAGATAATTTTTTATAAAATGAAAGATCTACAGTGCTCATTGAGTCTGTGGTCCTCAATACAAATAATAATTTTATCCAAAATTTTACAGATTGGGCCTTTAAGAGTTTTACCTATTAAAAATGTAGGGGGAAGGAAGTGGTTATGGAATGGAAAGGAATTTAAATATTTTACATTTCAGCATTTTGAATTATTAATATTAGTTATTTCCAAATTGCAAATCTATTATTAGGGCTACTGATTTTAGAATTATACAGTTCTCACTTGCCTTTATTGTGGAAAATGAGGGATATCTCATAACAAAGCCATCGTCTTACTTGACAGCTCTGGAGCCTCCCAGCTCAATTGCCTGGGATTTATACAAGATAAAATTACAGTGTGTGCAACAAACGACTCGTATCAGATGACACGAGAAAGAATGACCCAGGCAGAGGAGGAATCCCGCAACCGAAGCACAAAAGTTATCAAACCCGGTGGACCATATGTAGGTTTGTATAGATATCGTTCTCCTTCTCACTGATTGATTGGAATAATTCAAGACCACTGTAGGTAAATACTGGTAATACTAACTTAATATTAACACAGAATTAGTTTCCAGAACATTTTGAATAACATAATCAAAAATCATCTGTTCTCTTTATACCAATAATAAACTGAACAGATAGAAAAGTTCTACTTTCATAAATCCGGAATCCTTTGTTACTTTTACAATGTTGGGATCTGGTCCTGTTACTTTGCTATGTAAGTTTGTAATAGTGGTACTGTTGTGTGTTCTTTGACACTGAACGATGTATTCAATGATGGACTGTATAGGTCTTGTTTGGCATACTTGTAGGGTTATTTTTACAGTAAAATCTATTAGTAGATTTTAAGATTAAGAGTTTTTCCATTAGTAGAATTTCAGAGGATCTCTGCACAAGGAATTCTTATTGCAAAATATAAAACGTGCTTATAGCAAAGCACGAGGGTGATGCCTTTTTGGTACCTAGCTTGTGATGTCATTCATGGATTCTCATCTTCATCTATCCATTAAGAAGCTGCCCCAGCCCCATCATCTTTATCATCAACTCACTCAAATATCCATCAGACTGAAGGGTAGTAAGACCTGACCAGCAAGATGAGTCTCTCCATTATGAGCAGTGACCCTAACAATTTTAGAGTTGATTGGCAGTGACTATTAACAGTAATAGGAAGAATTATCAGGAGTGAAGATGAGCTCTTTGAGGCTTTGGTCAGCTTAATAACATAAGTCATCATAGGTAAATGATAGAAAGATAGTAATTTGAAAATATAAATGCATACAAAAACAGTTTCTTGAATAACCAAATTCTTTAATCAACATCATTCCATGGCTTGGTATAATTTTACTTCTGTATTTTCCCATTGCTGACCAGCTACAGTACATTCAGCTTTGAGAAACTCCACTGGTGTCTTTAATAAGTATTTCTTTGGAACAAAGCCAGTGCTCCTGGGACTTGGTGCTTAGCTTAGATACATTTAGTTTGGTTTAACAACAATTCATGGCTTCCCCAGGTATCTGTACCCATGGGGTCCAGTCCCAACCCAGTAAGTTACCAGCAGTGAGATTTTTCATCTTCCCTTTCCTTCTGAATGAGGTAACAACTTCCAACCTCCTTTCTTTTTATTCTCACAAGTAACTTTTCTCTGCAATAGGCTAAATCTCAAATTGTTTTTGAAATGTACAAGATGTACCACAGTTACATTTAAGTATGAACAATGAACTTGCTGTCCTTATTGCTTTGAAAGTATTTTTTTTTTATTCTGTCCAGTACCACCATTTTATAAACAGTGAGACAAGTTGGTGTGTTTGATAAAGGAATGGAAGACTGAAGCCATCAAAATTATTTTTTTGTCTCAACAGAACTAGCTGAAAAACTTTACCTTGATTTATTCCAAAGTTTGCCAATCAGCAGTGACCACTGTATCTTTCTACTGAATGACCCTTGGGTATCCCCTCTGGTCACGAATGTGTCTGTTTCGATAGGGTCAGGTATAGTTTATCTGCAAAGCATGTTACACAGCAGATTTCTCCACACCCATAATCTAATGCATGCTCTTCCTAATAGTACAGTAACTGTAGAACTTGCAGGGTTTCTTCAAGGCACTACAATTTTTTTACATTTTTTACGAGTGACCATGTAAAATTTGAGGTTATCTAAACTTTAAACTTGAGCCATATTACATCCATCCCATTCTCAGACTAGCCTGCCTTCCTATGTACACACATGCGTTTGCCCCATGAGCTGTCTCTGCTGTAGTCCCTGCCAGCCAGTATACTGCACTCTGCTGGGTTCTCAGTGCCCTGGTCACTCACCAGCACAGTACATCGATCTTCTCTGGTCCTCCATCTTGTCTTTAACCTCTTCAGCCTTTTGTCCTATGCGTCACATAACCCAGCTCCTTTTAACTTTTCTTAAGATGGTCTGTATACCAACCCTTTAATTATTTTTATTGCTGTCCCTGGACTGCCTTCATTTCTTCACCTCAGAATTCAAAACTTTGATTTTTTTTTTTTTACTTTGCTTTGTTATGGCATGTTTTGACCTTTTTCTTCTAATCTTACCCATTGCTAGTCCTTTACCATGTTTCTTTCCTTTGAGGTGGCTCAATTTGTATCTTCCTTTTTTTTTTTTTTTAGTACCTCAGGACTATATGACTCATTCATTTCTTTTAAATGCTAGTCATTCAGCCTTCAGTACTAATATTACCCAACACTTATGGAGAGCTTGCTGTGCACAAGACACTGGTTAGCACTATACATGAAGTTACTCAGATCTCAAAACCATCCCATGAGAGAAGTTATGATTACATCTCCATTTTATGTGTCATGTAATTGGTATCAACAAATAGCAAATGATACAGATTTGGCCTTTTAACAAATTGTATTATTTTCTTAAGACAATAGGAGATACCTCTTTAGCTCATCATTGAGTATATAATATGAAATGATACCAGGAGCTCACCTTTGCCACCTTTAGAAATATCAGCAGAACAAGGCTTCTCTCATCAGTGTCAGCCTGGGTAGAAGACAAATAGGAATAATTCTGGTCTCACTGAAAGGTTGTGGTTGACATAATTCTAGGCCAAGCCTCTGGCAGTTGAATTAGGGCACAAGCCCTGTTTAAGGGAATAAAGACTATACTCCTAAAGGTCACCCAGGAATATGAGTTTTTATAACTCTTGTAGACTGAAAAAATACAAACTCTATTTTGCATGGGAGGGAGGCAGGAGAGTCTTTAACCTGGGAAACACCATTAGTTCTTCAGAATATTTCCACTTCTAGTCGTGACATTTATATCAGTGGTGAGTACTGTTGTGTTACAATCCTTTCACTTTGTTTTAAAAAAAAAAACTCATATCACTAATTACCACTGCTTCCATTTACCAATATGTCTGCTCACTGATTTCTACCTAAATTCTGGAACTTTATTGAATTACAAATTTTTATTACATGCTAATATTTATTTAGGTGTATAAACAAAACCCAAACAACCTAATTTCTAGGATTCTTTTTCCAATTTTCCAACACCCCCCCCCCATCCTCTTTATTTATAATGGGTTGATACATGTGTGAATGACCTTGGACAAATCATTTAATATCTGTGGACCTTAATTTTCTCAATTATTAGATAAGGGGTATTTGAACTGGATAACATCGAAGGTCCTTTGTATTTCTAACATTTTGTGACTATTAGGTATATATATATATTTAGATAATGAACCTTTCACAGGGAAAAAAGAGCATAAATGTCAAATGGTGGAGATGATTTCCATTGCAGTGGATTATGTATTTAATGATGACAGTCACCCCATCATCAAGGTCCTGCCAGTGTTTTTTAAAGCATTGGGTCAGTGTTGCCAGGGCTTCTGGTCAGGTTCCACAGAACAAACAACCGCAGAAGATGGCTACAGCCCCTGCTCCCTTTCTATTGTACTGTTTTAACAACTTCCTTTTAGATTGTTTACTCAGAGCCTCTAGACAGAGGGATAAATACTTTTACCATCTCATATTAAATGGAGATGCTAGAAGTGGACTCCTTGTTATGAAACAGTGGTTCAGATATAGTCCCAGGTTACCCAACTGTCAGACCCACTGCTGCTGTTTATATAAGGAGCCCAGGGAATTGATTAGCAGTTGGGTCTGGGAAGAGAATTAGGTTCTCCCACTGGCTTTATTAGAAGGTCTTTTCTGAGGCAAATGTAAAAAAATAAAAATAAAGCTTTCTGCCCACTTTGAACCTGACATTTTCTTGCCTTACTTTTCTTTCTATTTTTCCTTTAGCATCTCAGTTCTGTAACTATTTAGAGCACTGATTTTTTTTTTTTTTTCATCTCTAGCTTGTCTTACCTTAAACCAGAGGACTCCTTCCTGGTTGAATAGGCACAGACTAATGGGGAGGCAACAAACAAGTGATCTTTGCATAAAACTCATTTGGCCCAGTGTGCCTGGATTGCTGTATCCATTTAAAGGAAAAAAGAGAGTGGGGCATCTGGCTACCTTAGTTAGTAGAACATGCAACTCTTAATCTCTGGGTCCTGAGTTCAAGTCTCAAGTTGGGCATAGAGCTTACATTAAAAAAAAAAAAAAGAGTAAAAGATAAAAATGAAATAAAGGTAGAGTGAGGGTACTAGGGATTAGGAGATTCATATACCAGTAACAGCCTAGCATTAGGTCCCAGGTGAGACTCCACTGCTGTCATATCCCTGACCAGATTCTAATTTCTTGTTGAACATTATACTTACACCCCTCTTAGGGGCAAAATGAGCCTCCCTTATTTGTCTGCGCTGTGCTTACTTCAGAGAGGGGCCAGGGTAAACTCAGGAGACCTTGGGGGCTCTCCTGAGACTGAGGATCAGAGGTGGGTCAGACACACAGAGGAGGGAGGGCAGCCTGGAACACACTGGTAGTACTGTCAGTTTTTGTTTCTATTTTTATTTGCCTTCCTTTCTCGCTTAAATTCATTCTAAAAGATCAATCATGGTATGTGTGAGCCGAGCTAAAAAACATTCTCTGTCCACTCCTCCCTAGAGAAGAGTGGTAGGGAGGGCTCCATAGTCAGCTTTGTTTGGGGAAGTAGAAGCTACAGGTCTCAAAGAGGAGGGAAGTGTGGAATTTATAGGCATTTCCTAAACTTTTGTGACCCTGGCTTTATTTCCCCCCACACAAATTTCCTATTAAAATTCCAGGGAACAGTACTCTTTGTTAATACTGTTACAACTGAGAAGTGGTAGACTGAAAGGTTTGCATTTGTCACATTAGAACTTTCAGTGTTTCTTCAGATCCTGGCAATGTGGGAATACCACACTGATTCTGGCTCCTCTGCTGTCTACTTGTTATCTTACTGACATTCACTTTGACACTTTGCTAGTCATCAAATACTGATTCAAAGTCTGCTAGGGAACAAATCAGCCACAGCCCTGCCCATGTGCAGCTTACAGCCTAACATGAAGCAATGGCAGACATCAGGTATTTGTTCATTAAAAAAAAAAAAAAAACTTTCCCACAAAGAAGTACATGTAGGAAAACTAGGGTACTAATAACAGAACCCTTTCAAATGCTAAGTGAGCACTTTACCATCTGAGCTTATCCCATTGAAAGCCTCAGTTTTCTCATCTGTGACATGACCATGCCTATTTCGTCAGGTTACTGTGAGGCTTAATGTGTATAAAGGTTTTAGCACCGTGTCCCCACACCACCACGTAATTGATTCATGGTAAATATTAGTTCCCTGCCCATCTGACACTGATCTAGCTATCTCTAAATTAAGAAAACTACAGAAACCAGATCTAAATCTAATGTACCTTAATAACTTTTCTTATCACTGGGCAGTGTTCCTTTAATTTTGAGTTCCTTTGTTGTGCACTATTTTGATCTGATACTTGCAATTCATTATGTCCGGACAGTAGAGAAATACAAGAGCCAGTGAGATATTTCCTTTCCCCTTTATTCTAGACAGGATTGTGTCAAACAGCACCTCTGGCTAGGCCTCAGGACCCCAGCATGGACAGAATTACTGTTCAGTAAAAACTCCTGCCCCATTAAACCGTTTTCAGACCAGACAGACCACAGCACTTAAGAGACTGCTTTTACTTACCCATTGATTCTGCTTGCTAGTCTTGTTCCAGATGCACTTGCCCTACATTGTATGTCATTACCAGCTCCCCCTACTCTTTAACCAGAGGGCACAGAACTGGAGGTTTAGAGTGTACTAAAGGTGCTAAAAGATTCCACCTTAGAAACTATAAAATGAGGGTCTTAAACATTTTAATTCTGGTTTTTTCTTCAGCAAGCAATGGTTACCAGGTTTTGTCAGTGACAAGCTATGTTCTGATGGCTCTACACATCCACATAGTATCCAGGTCACTTCAGCCCACAAATATTTTCTAGAAGTAGCCACTTGCCACTTACCAATGTTAAGTTTAAGCAGAGAATGGGCTAATTACCAAATGGCAGTTGCATGGCAGGAATGATGTGAAGGCCTCCTTTTTGCCATTTTCTGTTGCTCTAAGTCACCTGTGTAGCCTTAGCCCTGCAGTAGAGATGTGTCTGCTTGTCTGGCCCTCTCAGACTGTTTTGAGGTTGATTGGTTTTGGTTTTGGTTTTTGACTCCTAAAATTTGTTATGGCTTATTAAAAAGGAGTATGTCTAGTGGATGCCCTTCTGGGTGTTGACTTCAAATAATGCCCTGACTCCCCTCTTTGTGGTTTCTGAATCCGTGAGATTAAGGTAATTTCCCAGCTCAGCCAAAACTAGGTTCTTAATGAAATACAACAAGTATTTCTCATGTTTCACATTTGCTATATTCATGTCTGCCAAAGAAATGACATATAATATGTAGATTTAAGTTCTGTAAATAGCATGGAAAAACATGGAAATTACTTTATTTCCACTTAATATGAACTACCTAGGACTTAAAATTTCTAGTCTGTTGCTACAGTGTGTTTCACTAATGCACCATATGTAGCTAAGTGACCAGAATAAGTCTATATACATATTTATTCCAATAAATGGTTCTATCAAAACAATGTCAAATCCATAATTTTAGGCCATTTTTTCAAAATGCTTTCTGTTTGTATATCTCTTTAAAGTAAAAACTGAAATAAAGTAGCCTTAATTCCCTCCAGATATAAAGAAGTACCTAAATCAGAGTTGAGGAAACTGAGATGCTCATTATGTTCTTACCTGCGAATATGTAACAATGTCATTTCCCCTGGAATTTAGGGAAAAGAGTGCAAATTCGGAAAGCACCTCAAGCTGTTTCAGATGCAGTACCTGAGAGGAAACGGTCAACCCCCATGAATCCTGCAAATACGATTCGAAAGACACACAGCAGCAGCAGTGTTTCTCAGCGGCCATATAGGGACAGAGTGATTCACTTACTGGCACTGAAGGCCTATAAGAAACCTGAGCTGTTGGCTCGACTGCAGAAAGATGGTGTCAATCAAAAAGACAAGAACTCCCTCGGAGCAATTCTGCAACAGGTGAGACACATGGAGAGAGTTCCTTCCCTGTACCTTCTTGTTGAGAAGCTCATTTAAAAAGTCTTCTTATTGTTATTTGAGGTAGAGAAATTTCAGGATTATCTTGATCAATGGTGTATGAATTATAACTCTTGAATACTAAGTCATCTTGTTTTAAACATTTAATTAAAAACTAATTGAACTGTAGGTATCTATAGTAGGTTTTATAAATTAGAGGGTACTGAATTGTTGAATTTTAAAAAAATTAAGTTCAAATCATTCTCTTCATTTGGATTAAACAAATTTTGCTCTGAAATTCCATAAAAAAAAGTAAGAAGTTTTTGTTATCTGTTTTTTGGTCTTGAATCACCTAAACTATTGCTGTAATATTGATTCATTTATGTAGGTGAGGTTGTATCAGTCTTTGGTTGGTATAAACTAGAATATTTTTACCTACTAGTTTTAAATGCGTCTTGCCCTGCATGCTCTTTCTTTACTCTGCCTTTTTCTACCACTGAGAATGCTGAGATCATTCACTTGTTTTCATTAAGGGATATGAATGAGTATTAGCTTTGATCAGTTACCTTAATATCACAAACTTAAGTGTAAAAGTAGATCATGAATTTTTTTTGAAGTCACTAATTTGTCAAACTATAACTTCCTATACTTTTCATACTGATTTTTGGTCATAAATGTTGATTAGCATTCGAATCAAAAGATACTTTTCTCCAAAGCAGTAACATTTCCAAAGTTCTTAAATTTCACCATTAAAAAATACAAACTTACAGGTTTTCATTAATTCGAAAAATAACACTTTTAAGTCTTTTTTCACCTATTCCCTTACATTCAAGTCATGATACTAAAATGTTTTGAAAGAATAAAACCAAAATTTCCAGTTCTGGGTTAATCAATCTCCAACGTCTTGGGCATTCTCAAGGATCTTATTAAATTACTTGAGTACTTTTTGGAAAAACTTAATTTAAATCCATATGTCACATAACAGTTTTAAGAGCTCAAAAGACAGGATGAAAGAATGAATAAAGATAAGAATGCATGTGTTTTCTTTAAATTTTTTATTTGGGGACGGAGGGAGGTTCAGGTTACAAATCACAAAATACCTGGTGACTGAATCTACAGAAACATTGTAAATGATCTCCTAGGTTGGAGGATAAGATGAAAAAATGATGGCAAAGGCAATTTTTTTTTTTTTCGGCAAAGGCAATTTATTCACAAAGAGGCTACTACTGGTGTCAGTAGTTATGTAATTATGTATATGTATGTAGACAATAAAGATTTTTAAAAGTAGGTGTGCTTAACTCAGCCGCAAATGGGACATAAGTATCATTAGCGTTGATCATTTGGCAGAATCTAGAGCATAGTCTCATCCTAACTGCAAGTTAGAATCTTCTGTAGAGCTTTTTAAAAATGCCAGTGTGTGCACTCATACCCAGACCCACTGACTATCCATTGGTCTGGGATACTCAGACTGAGCCAATCAATGACTGAGATGAGAGGGATGGCAAAGGAACAAGTGTATGGAGGGGAATCAGGAATTCTGTTTGGAAGGCGTCTCTTAGACATATCCAAATGGTGATAGATTTTCATTAGTTACATGTAAGGGTCTGGTGTTCGGAAGATAGTTGGAACTGGAGTTATAAATTGGGAGATAGCAGCGTATCAATTGGCTATCGAAAGCTTTAGAGCTGGGGCACTTGGCTGGCTCAGTTGGAGGAGCATTATGGCTCTTGATCTCAGGAGCTTGAATTTGAGCCCCACGTTGGGTGTAGAGATTACTTAAATAAGAAGAGAAGAAGAAAGCCTAGGGCTGAAGGAAATATCTTAGGAGATGATGACAATGAAGAAAACAGGGCGGATAACAGGTCCTAAGCATTCCAGCATATAGAGAAGAATGCACAGAAAAAGATAAGGAAAAAAAGAGGGAGGAGGAGGAAAGCAGGGCAAGGCCCCATTATGAAGCTTAGAGATGAGGCTGGGTTTTGTTGGTCTATGCAGTCCTGAGGATAATAAGAAAACTAAGCATTGTTGGTATTTTTTCCACTTTGAGAAATCTGGTTGTGTCTCATCTTAATGTATTTGCAAATTTGAATCCTAAGCCTACCATTTTCTACTTTATTAAACAGCATTAACATTAGCTTAATGTTAAGCTGTAAGAAAAGCATAAACTACCATGATATATTTGATAGTACTTTATTTTAAAAAAGACACAGAAACAAGTGAAGTTATTTAAAAAGACCATTCTGGTAGGAAATGATAGGAAGGATGCCTTTCTGCCAGACTTAAAAAAGGACTCTTGGTTTGGCACCTGAACTCATACATTTGTATCGTTAATGGAATCTAGGCCTGGACACTCTAGGAATTGCAGTTACACGATAGAAAAAGATTACACTTAAGATTAAACTGGCTGACTAATGACAGTAGTTTGGGGGTTGTTTTGCTGTATGTTCCCATTTGTTGGTTTTCGGGAATTTCAAGGACTTTGAATAAGTGGATCTTCAGGAGAACTGGCAACTACAAGAAGCAGCCTTAGCAAGCCAAGAAATGACAGACAAGGACATCAGAATTGATACTTTTTATGGAGATAATTTCTGCTGATTACTGAAGGGAAAGTTTATAACCCAACATTTGGGCACTCTTTGGTTTCTACTTAATACAAATGACCAAGGATTTTTACTGTGATTCAAAAGTAATGGAGTTAAAGACCAGAAGTTAATAATGAAGTTGTTAAAAAAAATAATAATAATAATGAAGTTGTTAAACCTAACTCTAAGACTAGAAAAACCTGATTTAAAAAAGTAAAAATAAATAAACCTCCTTCCACTCTTTGCCTAATGTAGGCTGTTGGAATAGAAATATGACATGAAGTGGATGTTCAAGGAAAAAATACTTAGCTACTTATACAAAGTTTTAATTTCCCAAATGAAGTCAAACAGCATTTATTGAGATCTGGCATATGCAAAACTAGCAGTCCCTTTGGAACCAATTGGTACAGTTATTTTCACTGTAAATGCAAAAATGTTGCCTGTTTTGGGTTAGAAAGTAGCAAAAAGATCTAATGCTGTGTTTTCACACCATGTACCAGGTAGCCAATCTGAATCCAAAGGACCTCTCATATACTTTAAAGGATTATGTTTTTAAAGAGCTTCAAAGAGACTGGCCTGGATACAATGAACTAGACAGACGGTCATTAGAGTCCGTGCTCTCAAGGTAAGTTTTTTTTTTCTTTAAAAATGGTGCAAATAAGTAATTATTTTAGTCATTGTTACTGTAAGACATTAAGGAGGAAGAGAGAAGCAAAGGTAAACTTTTTATCATGAACATTTGAAGATTCTCTCCATAATTGGAACCTGTGTATCCTTTACAGAAAACTAAATCCATCTCAGAATGCTGCCAGCACCAGCCGTTCAGAATCTCCTGTATGTCCTAGTAGAGATACTGCATCTTCTCCTCAGGTATTCATAAAATTATATAATCATAGCCCTGAAATGAACCTCAGAGGCCACCTACTTCAGGTGGTCTGATTTGTGCTCGAGAGAAGTGAGGCCTAGAGAAGCAGCATAGCTTGCCTACCCAAAGTCACATGGCTAGTTAGTTCACGGCAGAGCTCTGTCTAGAATTCAGGTCCCACAGCCCAGACCTCTTTTTCCTTACACAAGCACTGTTTGACAAAGTGCTTAATATCTACTTTGCTTTTCTATATTTAAAGTTTACATTGTATTATAAGATTATCTCCTTTTCTATTAGGTCACTAAATAGAAGATTTACCTAGTTCCATATCCTATCTCAGATTATACAGAAAATAGAAGATATTTAATACTATCTGAAACATGTTCAAGAAAACTATTTTGGGGGGAAAATGTTTTTAAAACAAGAAAAAAAAAATCTCTCTTTCATACAGGTCTCCTTAACGTACTTTTTTCAGTTAGATCCCAGTCAGAGTACTCCATTTAGACCTCAGCTCTTTCCAGCTTAAAGTTTCCCCCAAGTGATTCCTTGGTTCCCTGGTTCGGGGACTGACAATGAGACAGACCTATGTACTCCAGTGCTATTGATCAAGTGCTCCTCTATCTGGACCCTCCTCTCAGGGATTAGGAAATTGAAAACATGTGTGAGAACAGTAAGCATGCTGTGGGCAAAAGGCTATTGATACATTGAAAACTGTTAGAAACCTATTGTGAGGAGCAGAGGAAGAACAAAATAAAAGCAATTATATCCTTGTGTGTACATTGTCTATAGAAGCCTCACTTTTAATGCCAGCTACCATGAAGTTATTTGTACTCTGATCTAATTATGTAATGGCTGCCAAATCGATGATACTAAATTGAAAACAGAATTAATGGGATGATTAACTATTATTTTCTTTCAGCTGAAGTTTAGGCCACATCTTTACATTGGATATATGATTTGTACTTTTCAACTATCTGAATTTCCTTTTCAATTTAAATATTATTGCTGGATTGGGCTAGCACTAGCATAATTTTTTAAAATTTTTGAAATCCATATCATTTTAGTGGACTAGTCATTAAGACTTAAACTTTCCAATCCTTTGAAGAGATATACTTACAAGGGAAGAAACTGAATAGCATTGCATCAACGATGGAGATACTTAGAGAAATTCCTTTGAAAGTGCTGGCTGTTCCCATTTGAAGACAAGTGAAATAATAAATAACAGCCAAAATATTTATAACTGGAGCATCTTAACACATTAGAGGAGATTAAATAAGTGTAAGCTTTTATTGCCCTTTGCCTCCCCTTAGTTCTGACAGCGTGAAATGGTACAAACTGCTTTCTCCGCTTTCTCAATATAACGAGGTCAACTCTGGCTCACAGAGGAAGGAGGTTACCTCTATTTAATACTCTCTGAAGTGGTATAGTCCACATAGATTGGCATAGTCTCTCGAAGAACTTAAGAGTGCAGCTCTATGATCAGAAAGTATAAAGTACTCCAAGAAACATATTTGCCAGATTCTGTTTTTTTGTTAGACGTGAAAATTTATTTCCCTTTTGTTTTTATGGATTGTCTGTTCCTGCTTGAGCTTGCAGAATGGTTAACACAATGCCGATGATAAACTTAAGAATGAATAAAATCGTTCCGTTGTTCATGTGGTAACTGGTGATGCATGTGTTGAGTTGTCATACAAACTGGCTCATTTTTTTTCTGCTTCCCTCCCCCTACAGAAACGGCTTTTAGATTCAGATTTCATTGATCCTTTAATGAATAAAAAAGCTCGAATATCTCACCTGACAAACAGAGTGCCGCCAACATTAAATGGCCATTTGAATCCCACCAGTGAGAAATCTGCTGCAGGCCTCCTGCCGCCCCCTGCAGCCGCTGCCATCCCTACCCCTCCACCGCTGCCTCCAACCCACCTGCCTGTCTCTAATCCTCCTCAGACTGTAAACTCTAACTCCAATTCCCCTAGCACTCCAGAAGGCCGGGGGACTCAAGACCTACCTGTTGACAGTTTTAGTCAAAACGGTAGTATCTATGAGGACCAGCAAGACAAATATACCTCTAGGACTTCTCTGGAAACCTTACCCCCTGGTTCAGTTCTACTACAGTGTCCAAAGCCTATGGAAGAAAACCATTCAATGTCTCACAAAAAGTCCAAAAAGAAGTCTAAAAAACACAAGGAAAAGGACCAAATTAAAAAGCATGACATTGAGATGACAGAAGAAAAGGAAGAGGACCTTAAAAGAGAAGAGGAAATTGCCAAGTTGAACAACTCCAGTCCAGATTCCAATGAAGGTATGTTTTATACTTGTAAAGCCAACAGCATGTGTTCAGTGAATGGGCAGTGCAGACTAATGATTGTGAGAGATTATGCTGTTTATAACTAGTATTGCTTTCTTATCAAATGACCTTCTGTTATTAATCTTAGTGTTGTGCTTTTGAGCAGATTTTTTTCTTGCATTTAACAGCAGTGGATTTCTGTCTCTTTTTAGCAAACTATTAAACAGTTTCTATATTTAAGAATAAGATGATAACATTTGAAAATGACTTTATTATCCTCTAGAGACCCTCTTCTAGAAGGTAGGCTATGTTGCTTTTTTCCCTGTCAGGGTACTGCACAACCTCACATGACCTATTATATGCCAGTCTTGAACTAATTTAACCAGACATGCAATTAGTGATAAAAATAATTCTTTTCCTTCTTTGCCAAAGAAACAGGGTCACCCCTGCCTTAATTAATATTAACACAGGGGAAATGTCAAATTCTTTATAAAAACAGGCAAGGTAAGATTGCGTATGCAGATCCATCACATCATCTTTATTCAGAGCGAAAGCAGTTTTTCTTATGTAAAGCTGTTGGCAATTTGCTTGATAGAACTTAAATTCCTTTTTAATTTTAAGAACACTGTTCTAGTAAACTAGTATTAATTGTTACTAGTAAAATTTAACTATTTCAAGCTTTTGAAAACTTTAAAAGCCAGATAGCTAGAGATGCAAAGAAGCTTGTAACAATGCTTTATTTCTAAAGGAAAGCTAATCAGAAAGACGACTTACCTGAGGTGTAATGATCTTTGACACCTAGTGACAAAATTTTATTTTTCTTATTTAAAAGTTGTCCTCTAAAACTTAATATCCCCCTGCCAGCACATCAGAGATTCAAGCCCATCATTTAGCGTTGTTGCCAATTTTAAACCCAGCTGAACTAAAGCAAAATTCTCTAGGAAAATGCAACTTTAGAAAAGTTACTTTAATGAATGGAGTTTAAGGAGTGTTACATTTCTGTAATTTTCCCATAATACTAGAAGTCTCCAATCCTTAGATTTAATTGACCATTTTTACCACATGAAACTTTGCAGAATAGTATGATGCAGCGTCTTCATTGACCTGGATTGAGTATACTGCACATCAAAGCTTATCTGTTGAAATATTTAGATCAGTAGGGTACTGTATAGTGGCCCAAAAGGTAGCTGTAAGCTTTTCCCCTCAAATACTATCGTACTTGAATTTGCCAGGTCAGGAAAAGGCAAGAGGTAATAAAACTTTGTGTTCAGAGTTGGCAAGCCGTGTTCCTGGTTATATCCACACTTTCTACCCTGAGGTGGTGATTCTGAGTCAGCCTGGTGCTGGGAGGACTGGATCCCATAAGTTGAGACCTACAGTAGAGTTTGAGTGAGACCTATTCTCTGAATCTGTCCCTGAGAATGTAGTACTTCTCAAAGCCAATTGAGATTATCACAAAATACTGAGGATGGATCCAGACCCACATCCCCTGAATCTGTTGGAATTTATCTGATGTCTGTGACAAAGAGGAAGCCAGGTGACATACACTTAATGCCTTTTCCTTTAAGACTCAGGCTTTAGTTGCACATACAGGTGCGCGCACACATGTGACTATGAACAATAAGCCCACAATCTGCATAATTTACTTAGTATTTAATTTAAAATATTAAACCAAGAAATGACTAAATTTTCACTTTTGTTTACATTGAACATGTATGTTTTGCCAGCAGGCAGGGTTAGGATTTGAGTTATTCTACCATGAAAGATAAAAAATTACCCTATAAAAGTCTAAATATACCCTCAGGAAATGGAGCATTCCCACAAACAGACTACTGACTGAGGGATTTTACACACTTTCAGAGCATAGCTCTGAATGACTGGCAGTCTACTTATTTGTCTATTTATTTATTTTGTCCTCTTAAAAACGAATCCATAGTATTATGAGATGTAGAGATGAGAGGAGTGTAATTCGGGATTCAGTAATGACTTATTTTAAATTACTTTCAACTGATAGGGGAAGACTTGCTCACTGCTTCCCCTGTCTGCATACAAAAAGGGTAGCAATGAAATACAGTGACCAGAGCAGACTGCTACCTGACTTCATTGTCTCATCTGCCTTGTTTGAATCCTATGAAAAGTAGATGTTGATGTAAAATTTGTATCTTCCATTGTCTGGCTGCATCTGCCACCACAATCTTTGAATTGCTGGGCAGATGCCACAACTGTTACGGAAAGAATAGAAGATTGACCTTGGGTTAAGATGGAATTCCTTTATTGTGCAGACACTGCAGTAGCCAGGGTGCTTTCAATGCCTGGCGTCAGTTCTGCTGGCCCTGGTCATAGGGCCTCTATTGTTCATGTTCAATTGTATTCCTTGCTCACTGTTGCTTATTGAGATGGAAGAATAGAATTTGAGGAAGAGTGTTCCAGATGTTTCTGATCTATTTTAGAATTATAGGCATTTTATAACCATACTGTTTGGTGAAAGCTTGAATTTTTTTTCATTGTAGGAGTTAAAGAGGGTTGCACTGCCTCCACGGAGCCTTCTTCAACAATTGAACTCCCAGATTATTTGATGTAAGTTCAGATGTCTGCCAATGGGAGAGAACTGTTTAATTTTAGAAAGTTTGCAAATTCTTTTCCCATAATTTGCAAATCAGAAAAGAGGTTCCAGAAATAGAGTCTTGGAGCCACCCCTGCATTTGAAAGGCTGCCATTAAGCCTGCTCGTCCCAAATCCACCCCTGTCTGCCTGAGCAGGTTGCACCTCCCCCTGCTCTGAGCTCTGTTCCATGGCCTTTAAGTATAGAGAAGCCTGTCTTTTGTTCTGGGGCCAGGCCAAGCATTTGATTATGGAAGATTTCAGGGATCTGACTCTTCAAAGCTGACAGTCTATCAATGCACATTCACTTGTTCCCCCCAAAGAGAGAGTTTATTACTGATAAAGAGCTTAAACCTCCACAGTTCATACAAAGTGGAGATAGATGGATTTTCATTTCAATAAAGCTCTGCCATCGAATTAATTTTAAGAGTAGAGAATAGTAAAATTTGATCATTCCACTTCAGTACTGGTTATAAGGTTTGTCCTGTTATGGCAACAAGTTGCTAAACGCTGAGCTGGGGACATTTTTGTAACTGGTTATCACAGAAATTATAACTTGTACACATAATTCTAGCTTTTTCATAGACTCAAAGGCTTCTGGAAGAAGAAATAATTAAGTTGCAAGAGCCTGGAAAAATGGAGATTGGAAGAGCAAACAGATTTGGCTGTAGATAGCTTTGAAAATGAACAAATGGGCAAAATAATTTGAATGTAGATTGGAAAATGAACTCTGAGCTATATGAACACTTTTTCTCTCAGTAGCATCTCATAGTGGACAAAGTTAAACTATGCTGTTTAGCCCTCCATGTACCATGAAATATTCATTTCTAGAGTAGAGAACATTTTATACTGAAAATGTGTTACTTTTGCTTAACAGTAGTGCGAAAGCTATACTTAATGGGGAATGATACAGCATGAAACCATAATGCTGGTTATCATCTCTTAACTAAAAAGAACCCAAGAAACCATGCTGAGTACTCTCTCATCTGAGGTGGTATGGTTTTAGAGTTCTGGGAGGGAGCTTTGGAAAGCAGCCACCACTGAATTGGCCCAGGAAGGGTTGGTTGGGGGATAGCTCGCGGCTCCACTGATGAGGGGTCCCACTTCTCCTTAAAAGTCTTATGAAAGTTGGTCCCCTCCAAATGACAGCTGCAGTACTGTGCTCTCATTCTCTTATGATGGATTTTAATTCCCCTTTTTTTTTGTAATGGTGATATAGATTGATTATATGTGACAAAATCACAGGGGGAGACTAAAAAATAATTGTAATCTTTTCCCTATGGATTTAGGATGTTGCTGTGTTTTGTCAGCTTAACCAGTTAGTTCTATATTAAAAACTTGTTTTTAACTCCCTAATCTTAAGGATGGTTGCTGCATCTGCTTCAGCGTGTTTTGATGTTTGTCATGTTTCTGGCTGTTAAAAATCATGAAAGTACGTAACCTCTGTGATTGTTTGCTCAATTTATTTTATCCTGAAACTGATAGAAAAACAGCAAATTTTCTTAAAATGGTGAGAAACCATGAATTTAAAAAAACAAAAAAAACACCGAAATTACAGAACTTAAACTTCCGGTTGTTTCGTAAGAAAACTAAAAAGGACATAACAATAAAACCTTAATGATCAGCCTCTGAATAATTCATACTTAAACTACAATATTCCTAATTTTTATATAATAAGAATACTTCTGTTACTTGTGTTTGTGAAATAGCCAAACCCTTTAAAAGTTTATTCCATCACTGCATAGGAACCAACTAGAGAACCGTAATAGTTTTTGTTAAAAACAGTGAAATGCTTTTCGTTAAAATGCCAGTATAACCAAATAATCTTCTATAATAGCAACACAGCTGTTGGCTAGTTTGGTATTTTTCCCTAAGGAAATTAAATATAATAATGAGGGTATAGACTTGGGTCTGATTTTGAGAAAGCAGGATATTTTATAAAGCAAATTAAGCCTAGTTTCACAAGCACTTTAGCCATTTTGCTTACATACACTTATCCCCAGGAACCTCTTTTCCTGCCCTGGGCTTCCTCTGGTGTGCAGTCAGGACAGCCCTGTCTAGGAGAGGACAGCTTGCTGTTTGGCTGGCCACGTTCCTTTTACAGCAAAGACACCAGCAGGATGCTTTAAATCAGCATACTACTGCTGTCTCAATTACACTTAGAAAAATAAACCTCCACAGTGTCTAACTCAGCATGAATAAAAATATTAATGGGGACATTAAGGTTGCTCAGTTGCATCACTTTTCTCACATTTCCAACCAGACATTTTGCTGTCTAAAACCATTTTTGTAGAGGACTGAACTCCAGGGTTTTCCCACAGTCCAGAATATATATGCATGCCTGGGGCATGCTGAACCACCTGATACCTGCCTGAAAATTGCTTTCAAATCTCAATTTTTAATCTCAAAAAGTCCAGGGAATTTTGCATTCTGTGATAGGAACACAGAGTACAGAGACCCAGGCAGACTCTGGTGTGATCCCACTTCCCAGAACCACAAATAATATTAACCTTGTCTTAATAATAAAATGCAGTTTTAATTTGCTTACTGCTGAATAAACTGACACTGGGAAAATGGCCTTCACTCACCAGTTTCGTAGAGTTATCCACAACCTGAAGTAAAACAGGTTTATGACATTTTTATTAAAGTAAATTAGAATAATAGTAGACACTGATGTTCAGTTACAGACTATGATACTTAAGTGTTGAAAAAGAACTAGAGAAATATGCCTTTTTTTTCTTTTTCTAGTCTCTCATTTCAAAAGAGACAATTACTCTTTTGTATTTTATACATTTGCCTAGTCAAACGTGGGAGGAAAGAAGTAGAGGGAACAAGCCGGAGGCACCTAGCTGGCAGCAGGTGTAAACAGTCAAAAGGCAGACTTCCTCATATAAAGCAGCAGATCTAGAGAGAGCTTTGACTTCAGCATTTAGTGACTATGTGACACTCTGGTTTCATGTCACTCACCAACTCCTGTTTCCATGTGACGCAAAACAGATGGGTTGGCCTCTGCCGCTAGTGTAGTAGTGAATTATTTTGGATAGAGAAAAGCTTAGAAAGCCAAATCTATGTAAGTGTTGTTTTCTAGTCACACTTCAGTTCCACTGCCAACATGTCTTTTTCACATTTACTTTCCTTCACTGACGGTCTTAAGCTCTCCTGTGGGATAATTTCACCTGGAGGTTGTCTGAAGGAGTGACATGGCACCAAACAGTGACAGACCAGCATTCGATGTAGGGAAACATGCTTGGATGCAGTTTCTAAGTATTGGGTTTAAATGTAAGATGTGAATGATGTTGACTATAGTCTCTCTTCATTTATCTCATTTCTTTATTCTTTTTAGAAAATATATTGCTATTGTCTCCTATGAGCAACGCCAAAATTACAAGGATGACTTCAATGCTGAGTATGATGAGTACAGGGCCTTGCATGCCAGGATGGAGACGGTAGCTAGAAGATTTATCAAACTAGATGCACAACGAAAGCGGCTTTCTCCAGGCTCAAAAGAGTATCAGGTAAACATGTTTGCTCCTAGATAGGCTGACTTCCATATTTTACCCTATTGGTTCTCTCCTGGCCCTTCCCCAGACACCCTATTGGCCTTCAGAGCATGTCTTCCGGCAAACCAGCCTCTCTGCAGCTTTTGGTCTTCATTTAAAATTAGCTAGAAAACTAATAAATAAGTTAATACAGTGAACTATATTTCTGTCAGTGGAAAAAAGTAACTTTTTAAACAACATAGTATGTATAAAATATATAACATGCGTTATATTTACTATATAACATAATAAAGTATCGAGAAAAAAAGCAAACACAACTAAATAGGAAAAAAGTTGGATTTGGGATTCACTGAAACTTTTGATTGCACTGCCAACTCAGGCTATAGCTGCTAGAGCTGGTGCTGTTCCCCAAATTGTTATATCAAGTACATTAAAAAAAAAACAACAACCTCAATCTGGCATATAATAGGAAAGATAGAGATATAGAATATAAACAGGGTTTAATACCACGGAGATTTGGGGTTTAAATGAAAAAAAGTTTGGTATTTCCAGCTCTTCCAGAGACTGACATATGTTAACACATACTAATCTGTTTTCACTTTCAAACTTTAAGTAGCAGTATTACCACAACTGACAAACCAGTAGAAACCAGACAGACCCATGTACTCGTTGTTCTCATAGTTAATAAGCAAAAGGATTAATACAAATGAATGTTCCCCTCCTTGTGTAAGCCACATAACTTGTTGCACTTCACAACCATAGATGGTGCCTTCACTCTGGCCTCCCACTGTTGTTCTGACAGGAATCTACATGAGAGAATGAATGGGTTTCCCACAATGGGGAAAACAGACTGCTTAGAGTTATAGAAGACTTTGTCAGAGGAATTAGTATTTGAGGGTGCAGGAGGTCTTGATATGGTGGTTTGGGGTTTATTTTTTTATGTATAGTTATTTACCAGTATACTATGATTATATTTAAACTAAAATATAATTCCAAGGACTACTTAGTGGTTAGGAGGAGGCTCCAGAACTAGACTGGGTTTGATTCCCAGCTGCACCATTTAATATTTGTGTGACTTTGTGAGCAAGTTATCTAACCTTAATCAAAATCCCCATCCATAAAATAAGGTGATTATAAAGTTGTGCAGAACAGATGTCAGCATTTGGTATTTGGTAACTGCTTAAATCCATACTATGTAAGGTCACATTAGTATTAACCAGGTTCTCCTAATAGCTACCTAATATTCCTCCCTAGAGGCGATCAATAGTACTTGTTTCCAGTGTATTCTTTCAGAGGTCTGTGTATGTGTTTGTAAGATATATATACACAAAATTCACATGTGGGCCATATGTAGTTAAATTTAGGATATCATCAATCACAATATGTACCATTGTCTTATGTTCCAGTAAGTTAAACTGTGATACGTTACTTATCTGATCTCATTAAAATGAAATGTGCATCTTAGAAGTAATGAAGTTCTTAGAATATGTCATTCTGTTTCTAGACGAATAATATCAAACTGTATTAATCATTCTGCACTTTGCTTTTTTCACTAAACAATATAATGCACCGTAGGGAACTTTATATAAGTGCGGGAAGCACTTTTTAATGACCTCTTAGTATTCCTCTGTATGGATTAACAGACATTTAGATTCTGTTTACTGTATTTTGCTTTATAAACAGTACTGTAGCAAGTAACCTTGTACACACAGCATTTCACTCAGGCACAAGCACATTTGAAAGAGAAGTATAAATGCTGAGTCAGTTCTGCATTTGCTATTTTGATAGCAGTTGCCAAATTGCCTTCTTTAAAGATTGTACCAATTTACATTCCCATCATCAGTATTTCCCACACCCTTGCTGAATGTGTTAGCTGTATATATTGCCAAAAAAAAAGTTCCCTTCTGATTTTAATTTTTAATTTTGTAGAATGTTCACGAAGAAGTCTTACAAGAATATCAGAAGATCAAGCAGGTAGGAATCATCAGTGTGGGTTTCCTGACCCCATAGTTGGGAAGTATTACAAATTGTGCAACCTAATTCCTCCCTGTTTTTTTCCTCTACAGTCCAGTCCCAATTATCATGAAGAAAAATATAGATGCGAGTATCTTCATAACAAGCTGGCTCACATCAAAAGACTAATAGGTGAATTTGACCAACAACAAGCAGAGTCATGGCACTAGATCTCTGCTTGGACCGGAAGATGTGAATAAACTTAAGCTTATTTATTTAAAATTCCAAATGAGTTGCTCTAAGATTCTAAAAAAATGAAACTTTGCTTGTTGAAAGTTTCAGTATTAGTAAACTTGAGTTATTTACTTTTTTTTTTTTTTTTCCACTTTACTTTGCTTCCCTGCATTTTTGAAGCTGCTTTTTCTGGTCCTTCTCTCCCCACCCTCACCCTACCCCCCAAGACTTATGTTTGTCAATAGAAATAATTTTTTTTTTTTAGATATTGGGGATCCAGTGTCTATACTTTAAATCAGTTCTTTTCCTTAAAAACTTATGTTAGTCATTAGAAGTGATTTTTTTTAAGATATTGGGGATCCAATGTCCATACTTCAAAGTTATGTGTGTTTAAAAAACAAGTCATGTGCAAAGTGAAATGCTTTTGGATAAACATAAGCCTATTTTCTGACCTTTCTTAATGCAAACTCTTTGCCTTAAATGGTAGAATATTTAGAAATTTGCACAAAATACAAAAAAAAATTTAAACATTGTTTTGGAGGGTTAAGAAACAGAAAGGTGTACATGTGTGTGCATAGATATGCACCCACAGATGTACATACAGGCTGACTTGATCTAGACAGTAAATCCGCCCTGCAAGTTAACCCCCCATTGCAATGGTTGCCTTAAGGTGTTTGCTAGTTGTGTACATAGTGTGGTTAATCATTAGCTACACAGCTTCCCACTTGGTTAGAGCAATGGGAAGCATACTGTGGCCTACCAGCGTCTGAAAGCGTGTGCTCGACCTGTATGTGTGCAGAGGTGGTGTGGATGTGAGCGTGCATGGAGGAAAAAAGCTGCTACTCTCAGTAGGCCAAACGCTCAGGTTAAACAACTGACGAGTGTTACTGTAGGGGTTTTGTTTTGTTTTGTTTTCCTGTCAAATTGCTACTTCTATTGTAGAAGACAAAAGCATTTCCATTTCAACAGTTTGTCAGCTTTATTAATGTTGGGCAAAATCAATATGTTATGAAAATGAAACAGATCTATAGTTTTGGGGCAAAATTATAAAAATTAAACATGTAGGTAACCTATTTATATACTGCTATAAAGTATTTTTTGAAGAGAGATATGCAAAGAAGCTATTACCTACATGAAATGTATATTTAAAGATTTTTTTTTTTTCATCCTGGGAGCCAGGAATAAAAAAAAAAAAAAAGAGAGAGAGCGGATATATTTAACCATAACATACTGTGATTCATCAAACAGCACAAACTTTCATTTCATGGAGTTTATCTGTTGACGTTGATTTAAACTATCATTTGTTTTATCATGTGGGAACATAAGTTATGTGGTCAAAAATATAAGGATTTTGAACTAATGTTGATTCAAGTTGTGTTGTCTTATCGTATTGTCTTTTCAAAGTGCTGCCAGTTGAAAAGGGAAGCATTATGTTTACAAATCTGTTTTGAAATGTTTGCCAAAATTTTGGTAGTATCTTTAATAAAGATGTTTGTCTCCAGCATCCAAAAAATAAATAAATAAATAAATAACTTTGTTGTGTATCAGTGTAAACCAGAAAATGTTGGTATCTAGAAAACCTGAGAGAGCATTTAGATGAACTGTTCTCTTTGCAGTTATCCTAAAGCATTAACTGGAAGTGTAGATACTATAGAAGAGTATACAAAAGTAAACAGACTATGCAAAGACTGATAAAAGACCATGTGCACTATAACTCTATAACATCACTACAGAAATGAGATTTCTTATATAGCGTGGACCTCTTAAGGAATTGGTTTCTTTTCACACTGAGATCCCTGGTGCTCTTCCTTTTACCTCAGAATGGGTACAATCATTACTAAATGTTCATTGATTTCAAATTTTGAGTTGTAAAAAGATAGGTACGGAAACTTAATTGGGGATAACTTTGTTGCATATGTTATGGTGGAGGCTCCTGAGGGATTTGTCTGTAGGTAATGACCTCAGTGGTGTCGTTTCTTGGACATCTTGGCCTTTTAATCAAAGATTTCTGCTGCTATTTGCTATGAGCAGTGTTTCTCAAAAGCAAGGTGCTTAGACCATTTGCATCACCCAAATTAGAATCTCTGGGTGTAGGGCCCAGGTATCCACACTTTTGTAAATATCCTCCAGGTGACTTTTGCAAGTGAAGGCATGAGAACCATTGGCTTAGGTAAGGTGTTAAATCTTTGGGTCTTGAGATATCAAAGTCTTGAAGTTGAACTATTGGCTTTTTTTTTTTTTTTAACCCCATCCTTGTCAGCAGGTACAAATCACTCTTCCCCTCTACAAGATTGTGAGGCACCCTCTCAACTCTTTCACTGCCAACTCTTATTTCAGAACTTGTTTAGGAACAAACCTTCTAGTTGGTCCTTAGTCCTTGGAGCTCCCACCGACATACATCAGCACATCTTCTGGTTTACAAATTGGGTAATAATGGAAGCTGGAGATATGTTATGAAAATCCAGCACTGCACATTCATAGACTTGACAACCTACCTATAAAAGCCTTAATTTAGATATCTGATGTGCACATTGGGCAGATCCTTGCAAGATCTGTATCAGTTGCAAATCTGAGTTATGAATCACTCAATCTGCTATTACCTGAGGCTGCATCTCTTTGAAGATGAGCATTGAGCCTGTTAAAATGCTTAAAATCGCCCTTTACCTAGTACTGCAAAACTTTTACTCGCAACTGCTGCAGGAATGAGTGGCCACTTAGTGCCAGTTACTCTGGTAGAAGAATTTCTTTAGTCATTTTGAGAGACCCAGTAAGTATAAAACAGCATTATCAAGGTGAGAGAATGCATTATTTATCACATTTCATCTAAAATAATTTGAAACACTTTTGGAAATTTTTACCAACAGCAGATTAACTCCAGACTGAATGAGCAGCCTATTTAATATAAACCAAAAGGAACATTGACTAGATGTGATTTTGTTTTTTAAGTAGGGATTCTATTTCCTATCTTGTCATGTATTTCCCTTGGAATACTTGAGAGGGGGTAACGTCTAACTCTAGTGATGGATGTTCAGTGCTTGCTCTCACAAAAATAATTGGTGTGATCAGTTTATGTCATTGCTCCATGCACACCGATCATTAAAAAATTCAGTATTAACTTTCCTTTCATCTCTAATTGATCTTCTAAACCTTATAGGAGTTTTCTTTTTCCTTAAGTATTTCACCTCATTATGTAAAACAAATGCGTACTTGAATGTTGGAAGCAAGACACTGAAATGAGGATTAGACACAAGTGGTCCATTAGTTCCAGCACTCTCCTTGGTTGCCTTATCCCTTCCATTAGTGCATTCTTTGCTTCTGGAACCTGGCTGAAACCCTTCAACCAGTCCATGGTGTTTCTGGCAGTGTGAGTGTTGAGTCCTGTATGCTTGGTATATGCCCTTGCTACTTTTGAAGTTCATACAGTTTATTTCTTGCCTGAGTATTACTAAATCCTTTTCTTATGTATACCAGATGGGGGAAAAATTATAGCCAGCATTACGAGGAACCTTTTGTAAAAGGATATTAACTGACACTACTAAATGAAGGCAACAGAAGATATTATCATTGTTCTTTGTAATCTGAAACTAAACAAGGCTGGGAGGCTCATTTCAAAATATTTTGAAGTGGAGTGTGTGTGTGTATACACACACACTTGTTTCTCAGTTGTTACACCCAAACCATGTTAGGACTCTCAAAGGTAAAATGTCACAGGGATTTTTCAGTTGTTACAAAGTTCAGCAGCTGTGGTGGTCCCTTTTGTTCTACACCAATTTCAGTTCAATAAAAATGTTAACTTTGCAATTCTGGTAATTGTTTTTCCTTTGTCTCATTTCAAGGCTCTTAAATTTATCTTAAAAAAAAAAACCCACAACAAAGTGCTCTCTGATGCTCTATTGTAAATGATCCTCCTAGAACAGAGATACTTCTTGTTGGTGACTCTAGGAATCTGGGGCCAGGTATCTGCTCCAGGATCCTGCCTGGTGTGTGTGTGTGTGTGTGTGTGTGTGTGTGTGTGTGTGTGTGTGTGTGTGTGTTTTAAGATTTTATTTATTCATGAGAGACACACAGAGGCACAGACACAGGCAGAGGGAGAAGCAGGCTCCATTCCACGCAGGGAGCCTGACGTGAGACTCAATCCTGGGTCTCCAGGACCAAACCCTGGGCTGAAGGCGGTGCTAAACCACTGGGCCACCTGGGCTTCCCAATCCTGCCTGTTTTCTAAGTGTATCGCATGCCCTCCAGAGGTGATATCTACTCAAACAATAATCACAGTTACCATTTAATAAGAGCTTCCTGGGGCTTACACACTTTATGCATACGTTGTCCCATTACTCTTCCCTACAACCCTGTTCTCCCCATTTTATAGTTGAGTGAACTGAGGCTTAGAGAATTAAGGGACTTGTCCTTGACACAGCTAGCAAACAGTGGAAGCTAGGAAGCCTTCCCCCAGCATCTGTGTTCCTAACCACTTCTCCATCCTGCCCCTCATAATGCTGGCCCCTTAGTGTGAGCTTCACAAAGTGATCATTCCAGTAACACCACGCCGGCTACACAAACTCTTGATTCTCAAAGGAGACTAGGCTGGAGGGGTAGGGTAATACCTCGTAGGTTATTTTCAGTGAGTTGATTTTGTCAGAAATGATTGATAAATGTGAAGGAAAGCCAAAATACTTTGAGAAAAAGTATGTTTCCTTTGTTTTTGAATGTGTGCTGTGGTGACAGCGGGCTATTTGAGGTAGAGCAGGGCAGTGCAGGTAGAAACCAGGGAAGGGTACAGTCCTGGAATCAGACCCTCTCCTCTTCAGACTAAAAGGCTGTCTCAGTAACAGACTCTAGCTTAAGAGCTGTCCAGTCTGAATTAGACATAAGGATATCTCTCCTAGCTGGGTCCTTAACTTCCAGTTTCTACAAGTTCTCTGAAGGGATAATGGAAAGCGAAAGGAAGAAATCCTCAACTAAACATTGATACAGAAAACCTAGAACGACGATCAGTGCCAGGCATGATTCTAATTAGGTTTAGGAAGAACCTCATGGATGAATGACGTTCCTAACGTTATAATTGTGTCTGCATCCCATCCCCACCCACCTAACATTTAACGCTGTACTTGCCTCTTAACTCCTTTCCTCAGCTATAAAGTGAAAACATGCCTTCTCACTGGGGCATGGAAGAGGCTCCATCATAGTTGGTAAAGCACTGACGAGTTCCACGAAAAACTATCTAAATTATGGATTGTCTGCTGAATGCAAAAGAGAGAGTTTGTTGGTTGGAGTTTCCTGGCAAGGATGAGTCCTTTTTGACTGGTCGCAGAGAGGGCAAAGGCAGAGAGAGGCCTGAGGTTTCAAGGTGGAGTGTTTGGGGTTTGTTTTATTGAATGCCGAGACCTATATGGACCTGCTCCACTGGTTTTTACCTTTCTGAGATTGGGACAGGAGGCTGGCAGTGGCAGGAAGTAGCTCTGATATTTTAGGATTGCTCAATTCTCAAGCTGGGGTCAGATGATCCTGCTATGTGTGGCAGTAGAGATGTGTCATTTACAACTCCTGCCTGCTGAATTCAACTGGCCAGCCAGGCTGGTTTGTCTTTCTGTAATTAGATCCTTGCTACAATATGGACATTTGTAGATGGGTGATAAGAATTCCATTTCTGGGTTTGTGAAATGTAGGAGAGTGCTTCCTAAAGATAAGCCCACATGGTTAGCCACCATGCTGGAGTTCTAGAGCTGGGGCTTCTAGAGGAATGGCTACCTGCCTTTCTATATTTCATGGATTTCTCAGGGCTCACCAAAGTCCACCGTGGTGGACACAGACAGCATGATCCACTTTGCCAGTTTCATCACCTGTTATGCCCACTGCACACTGGTCATACAGACCTGCCTTGAGGTTCTCCGATAACCCGAAGTGCTCCACCTATCCCAAGGCCTTACTCAATACTTGTCTCTACTGTACTGCCAGGCCCATCATCCACCCCTTCCTCACTCAGCTAAGTTTGCCCCCTCCCCCCCCCAAGATCTTCCCTTAACATCATCTGCCTCCAGGACGCCATCCCTAACCTCTCGGGCTAACTCCGGTCATGCTGGTATACACTCTCTTTCATCTCCTACTTCTCCTTTGTGGCATTTATCACAATTATAACTAAGTACTAGTTGTATTGATTAGGTTCCCTGAGAGTAGAGACTTCTCTTGTTTTCTAGAGGCTCCCAGCTCCTCGTCTAGGACCTGGCATAGAGAAGGTGCTCAATAATAATTTATCCAAAGAATGAATGAGGCAGGCTATTCTTGTATGTCCTATTTAAAATTCATGTGGCCAGAGGATTTGGATTACTGCAAGACTCTGCTGTGTCACTTAGGTTTATGTGCCTTGCCATAAACCATGATTTAAGAATTAAATCATGATTTAGGAATTAGTCATGATTTAGGAATTAGTTACTGACAGCAGACTGACTTGACTTGCCTTTGGGCGTCCCTTTGCTATGATTAACCAACTGGACACCTTCAAAGGGCATGTCTCTTTCCAATGTGGCATTCATACCTCT